CCTCTAGATCAGGGGTAGCCAAACTCCGGCCCTCCAGCTGTGGTGGAACTACAAATCCAATGAGGCATTGCGAAATTCTCACAGCCACGACTCCCGGAGAGAGATGCATCATGGGATTTGTAGTTTCACCACAGCTGGGGGGCCGGAGTTTGGCTACCCCTGCTCTAGATCCAGCATGGGTCGAATGCCTCCTTTCTGTTTTGAGACAATAAAAACAGGTTTAAGTAGAAAAGTTGAAATCATTCATTTTCCAGAAGAAGGGCAAGGACTCCTTGAGAAAGAAGTTGCCCAACAGCAGCATGGAGGTCTGTTGGCAGATTTGACAACATGAAGTGGGGCCTAGGCAGGTGCAGACATTAAAACTTTAGTTTGTAGCCCCTGGACACTAAGATACAATCCAAGATGCTGGTGGTCCAGGTGAGTGCAAAGGTCAACAGGCCACGATCAACCCCCCTAACCTTTCAAAAGTGGGGACTTCCCCTCATTGACGAGAGGACGTGCTCGCAAGTTAGGAAGATTTGGGATTCAGGGCTTGCAATGGAAGCAAGTCCCGGGCCTTGGACTTAGACTGGGAAGCCTGTAACATCTGAAGCTAAGAGTGTTGCCTTTGTTACTCCCAGACCTCCGAGACAAAACTGTACTCGTTCCACCCGTGACATCTCTGATAAAGGACGCATATGCAGCAAGCGTGATGTTCTGCAGACCAACATTTCAGCCGAAGAGTCCTCCACATTTACACAGAAAGGAGATTAATTCCGAATAAGAAATGTACAATTCTACAAGTCCATCAGACTGCCAAATGGAAATGACAACAATGACCGGTTGTAAGGCAGGTCCCGTCAGGGAAAAAGAAGCTTCCAGTTCCCTTTATTGAATCCATAAATTAATGGAAAGTAGTCAACAGTGAGTGTTTTATTAAGGCCAGGGATCCGCAATGGGGACTGCCCCCTTTATAATAAATGTCCTCTTTATAGGGTATTGCTTAGCAAGATGCTTGGGGGATGGAAAAAAGCTGGTAAAGCGCAGACCAGACAAGATACAAAACAGGTTGCAGTAGGGAATGTACTGGAAAGGTTTTGACAAGTTTGGGACTTAAAGGAGAACTAGGAGAGGGGAGAGGGGGGTGGGGGGGGGGGGGGGTTTTCCGTCG